TTCAGTTTCTATTCCTTCATGTTCACTGCCAGTCTCCTGTACATTTTCTTGTCTTTTAACCTTCTTGTTTCTATTTCTGCACATACATGTACCACATGAGGTGTGAATGACAATAAAGAAACTCTGACTCTGATAAGCTTTTCACTCCTTTATACAGATGTGCTTGTTCTACCTTTCCCCTACAACTCTTATCCCTCCTGGTGGCACTTTTTGCATCGTCTTCATTTATTTCTGACGTCATTCCATTTCTTTGTCATTTCATTTCTGACTTATTTTTCTGAACATAGCTTTTTGGTCTCTTGTCATCCTTACAACATGTTTTCCCCGCTTCTGCTCAGTCTATTTTCCAGCCTCACCACTCACTTGGCGTCCTTGCTTCTGTCACCCCCTCCTCTTCTATCATGCCTAAGAGGTGCAGCCAGGACCTCAGTACATTTCCTCTTTTTGGCAACAAGAACTGACAGTTCAGCTCAGGTTGGTTTTGCCATTAGCCATCTCACGTCCTCCCTCTGGATCTTTAATTTGCTCTCCTCCTGCAGAGTCAAGTATTTGTCTTGAGGTGATTAAAGTTTAACATTTTGTTTGGCACAATTAATCTACGATTATTCCACTATAAAGTTTTTAAACCTGGATTTGCACGATGCATTCATAAACATGGAATTTGGTTGTAAGAAATTTAAAAAATGCACAAATATATTTAAAAATATGAAAATGATGAAAATTTGAAATTTGGGGTTTTAGCCCGACAGTGACGATGTTTAACCTACAGGGTAAAATATGGAATACCAACTTAATTTCATCTTTGTGTAAAATATTCAATGTGGGACTTGTTTCAGGTACTATGATTCTTGGCTTTTGTTGCATTTAAGTGAAATATTTACAACGAAAAATAATAAAACTAATCAAAAGCAAAAAAGCTTTGAATTCACTTTTCTCAAGAAGGGTAAATCGAGCATGATTACTAATTGAAGTTAGGAGAAAATAAAAATGAAGAAGCTAACTAACTATTTCAGTGTGACATAGTCACTGAATGAGATATTTTTAAGTGCAGAAAGAAAGTTTTTTTTAAATACACGTTTTCCCAAACTTGATTTGGTACGGACAAATGTATGATTTCAAGCACAACACTTGAAATACTTTCAAAATACAATTTTTAACAATATGTCTTCTTTAATAAAATCCGTCTATAGTCCTAAGAGCTTAGTGGCATCAAAAACATCTATTACGCCTTTTCTATACCTGCTTAAGGTAATAGCTCACAGGACTGTGACTTTTGATGACTAGTTGGAGAACAGTACAGTTTATATAAAGTTTGAATGAATGAATGAGTATCCAAAGTGTCTCAAAACGTTCTCAATTTTCTCCCATGAGTTGCAAAGTGTGCATGCTTCTTATTTTATTTTAAACACTTTCAAAAGTAATTGTGCAAAAAATATTCACTTAAAATAGAATTGTTTCTAAAACTTTTTTTTAATTTGTAGTGGGAGTTTCCAACCTGTCTTCAGAGCGCTAGAGTTGCATTTTGCCACCTCCATGGGAGCTCTCCTCTGATAGAAAACATACTGTAGGAGGCAAATCCATCCATCCATCCATCCATCCATTATTTTTTATCTGCTTCTTCCTTTTCAGGTCATGGGGATCATGGGTGCCCATGTCCAGCTATCACTGTGCGAGAGGCAGGGGACACTCTGAACAGGTCTCCAGTCTGTCTGGAACAACAGGAATGTGTACTCCAGTAGACCAAAACATGGGGGCGGCTGCCAAAGTGGGTACAAATATGGCTGATGCAGGTGTGACGTGGGTGGAGGTGGGCCACAAAATATTCTTCTCATCCTTGAACAAAGTCATGATTTTGGAAAATGAGAAGTGGTCACATGACTTTCTGGATGGTTGGTCACCAACTCCTCTCCAACAATCCCTGCTCAGTGAAAACCACCTTCAGTTATGCTGAGGGTTACTGGAACCTATCCTCGCTATTAATGCATGTGCAGGAGGTGGGAGTACAACACCACAAAACCAGCAACCAACCACACAACACATTCAGCTACAGAGTGTTTATATCAAAATACATATGGCCTGATTGTTGATTTGAACTTGATTTGGGGGCGGCTGTGGCTGAGTGGTTAGAGCAGTCGTCCTCCAGTGCAAGAGTTGGGGGTTCGATTCTACCAGCAGTCACATGTTGAAGTGTCTCTGGGCAAGACACTGAACCCCTCATTGCCTCCATTGTGTGTCCCATCAGTGTATGAATGTGATCTAAAGCACTGATTATTCTTTGTATAGATCTAGTAGAGTGCTGTATGAATGGGAACATGAGGACAGATTGGGTTGTAAAGAGCTTTGAGTGTCTTGATAAGATAGAAAGATGATATATAAGTACAGTCCATTTACCATTGTACTTACAGGACATTTGATCCAAGATTTGAACCAAGAATCATCTCAGTGTCAAACATAGTGCCCTACTGTAATTTCAAAGTAAAAGCTCAAATCTGATGTAAAAACATATTTAAAAAATGTGAATAAAAAAGTCATATTGGATGTGGCGTTGGAGCAGGAAACAAGAGTGAAATGGAAACGGCACAGCTGAAGAAGAAGATTGTAAAAGTTGGGCTTGAGTGTTTTAACAGGGCGTAATGAACGATGCCTCACCTTGAACACAGCAGCATTACAAGAGAACAGGCTCCTTCTTAACACAAGGATCGGAGCAACTTAAGCCAGCAGTCATTTGAAGCTGTGTGCACACAGCACACAGTGTTTGTGCAGAAAGCCAGTGGTTGATCTCTCTCTGCTATAATTACCTTGATAGCTAAATGACACAAAGATTATGAGGTTAAAGAGCAGAGCATGGAGCCTTTCATTTGAAGGCGTCTCAGGGACCGTTTCAAACAATGAGCTGCTTTCTGAAGGTGTACGCCAAGAGCTCATTGTAAAAGTGAAAAATAAACCCCCTCTTGTCTTGTCCTCCGTGACAGCATCTGACTCTACCAAAGAGAGCCAGTTAGCATGACAGATAGATACAGAGAGGGAGGGAGGCACAGGCAGTCACCTTAAAGGAAATGCCATTCAACTGGATAATGATTCTGTCTATCTGCAAGGAGCTCTATCAAACTAGAACAGGTTGCTTGTCTGCCTTTTTGTCCTTCTGCCTCGACATCTATCTGGCTGTCTGCCGGTCTCTCCGAATGCAATTTCACTGTCTTCCTCTTCGGCAAGCGTGACCCAGACAGCAATTAGTGTGGGGACTGACAAGCAGTCACAAGCTCCTGAGTGCACACTCTGCTTGTGAGACAAATGTCTTCATTCAAGAATACCAGCAAGGACAAGTGGAAACGTTAGAAAATTTACAATGACCTTTCTCTACTGGTTCTGACCTCATACCTAGTCTTAGCATTGATATAAAAGCTCTGGGGGTTGATTTTACAGTCATTATACAGAACGTAACAACTACTTGGACTGCTTTTATGGTATATTCTGAACGGTTTTAGCTAATTGTGTTATAATAAAGAACATTACACTTTGCTCATGGTTTGCTCACCTTTTTATCACCTGCTGCAGAAAAGTGATGGTGGATGTTTTTGCCCATGTCTGTGTGTGTGGACAAATTTTATTGACACTCTTGAAAAACCATCAGTGGATGCAAACTGATTAATGTTTCTAGTCAAAGAAATTCAAGATGGTAAAATTCAAGATGGTAACCTTAAAAAAACAACAACACGGCAGTGTAAAAGGGTTTTACAGTACAGTGTATGCTAACTGCCAATAAAAAAGCAATCATTTGGAAGTGGATGAATGACAAAACACCCACACTAGAAGACTGGATAAATGTGATTCAAGATATTCGTCAGATGGAGGAACTTAAATTTGCAATGAAAGTGGAAAAGAACAAATTTGAGGATTGTTAGAAACCATGGTAGACTTTCTTGAACACTAGATCTGAAACCAAACAATGAAAATTAAGAGACACCCGCTGTTCTTTAGCTACTCTGTATTGTTGTTATAAATTGTTAAATTTTACTTGTGTTTGGTTAAAAAAAGGAGTATTAGATACCAGGTGTTGAATACTATAATTACAGGAAAATGTGAACTGCATAGATTAATACAGCAAATAGAAAAGGGATTTTCAAAATATGTATCTGTACGATGTAAAATGATGAAGCATACACAATTCTTGTGTTGCTCCTTAATAAAACTTTGAATAAAAAAAAAAATCTCACAAAATTAACTATAACTATTAACTTATTATTGGCCTAAAGTCTGGTGTGGTAGGAGCCAACACATATTCTGTCCGCTGATAGACTGGACAAGAAGTTTGTTTAAAGTTTTACCATTAACTAGTTTATTAGTCTGTCTGTTAGCAAAATCTCTCATGAGGGAGGGTTTCATTGAAACGTTCAGTAAATAATTTGTGGATATGCTTTTACAACTGAATAACCTTTGAAGCAAATCCATTTAAAAATGGCCACAATAGACAACTGACCTTAGAAAACTCAAAAAAAGACTACTTTTCAGTCACTTTTACAAATATTGAGCTGAAATTTGAAGTTGACATAGCTGAGGGTCATTCACAAACGTAATTTCAGTGTGACATTTCAAATGCCGTTATTTTGAAGGTTTGATCAAAATGGCTACATCTCTTTCATTTGTCAACAAAAAAAGGATCTTTGTCTACAACTTTGGCATGAAGGGCATTCAAGCAGTATGTATTCCTTGAAGGAATCAAGGCCTTCAGTTTACTTACACTGAAATAAGTTAGTGGAGTTACTGAAAACAAGAACAAAATATTGTAACCCAACCCACACAAAATGACACTTGTGGGCAATGATTGTTCAAGTAAAATAAAACGTCCTCCTGCTAAAGCAGCATCTACACAAAGTAACCCCCGCCCCCCAACACACACACACACACACACACACAAAACAACATACACACTTGAGCTCCAAGTATCCCAGCAACAGTTTGACAAAACAAAATCACCCGAACGTGATTATTATTTTTCTTACCTGTTTGTGCATCTCAATGTTGAGACCGTAGGACATTTCGTAGTACTGCGGAGACAAAAACAAAAGACAGCTTTGTTGGCATTCTGTTCACAACACACCAACACTCAGTTTTACCCAGTATTTCCAGTTGGACATCTGCTGTTTGGCATATGTTGCTATTTATCACGTTGGTTTCCATGAAAGACAGGAAGAGTGAAATAATGGGAGTGTGTGTATGTGTGTGTGGAGAACAAGTGTGTGTGTCTCACTGTAATGAGGTCTTGGTGAAAGTTATGTGGCATCAATGACTCTGTGTGTGTGAGTGTGAGTGAACATTTTCTTTTAACCAATTTACTGTTTTGCTCGTGCACAGCCGTCAAATGAGCATGACTGTGTGTGGATGTTGCTTTTCTTGCTGTTAAGTAGGTGTGCCAATGAATATCAATGTATGTATGAATAATGAGACTGTGAATGGATATTGTGTCCATAGCATCCCTGCTTCTGCGTGAGTAATGCATGCAAACAAAAAATCTCTATCATATCTGTGGCATTAAGCAGAGGTCTGTGCCTGGACATTTACAACAACAACATTGTGATGCAAAAGTGTAAATCTGCACAAAACAATGTGGCTGGAATACCACATCAGCCAAAACTACATCTGTTGTATCATAACTACAGCTAAGCTTCAGAAAAGTCTGCATCAAGCTGCCAGAAGAAAAATAACTAAACAAGTCTGTTACCCTCCCATTTCAGTGCCATTTGATAAATTCTACTTTGCAGGCTCCTTGTATGACCCATTTCTTGTGGATGGTTTGCTACATAGATCACCCTGTTAAGTCTGTTGCAAGTCAAATACAATCAAAAGCATCAGTTAAGTGTCATAAGTGGAGCATGTTGGTAAATACATCTCTATAAGACGCAAGAATGAAGAAAATAAAAAAGTTTTTATTAAAGAAAAGTCTTCTGTGACTTTTTGTTCGTTTTTCAATGAAACCATACTTTTCTCTTTTATGATGCATTTGATGATATCGCAGTGTTTGCTCCATCAGCTGTTATCAAATCAAAACTCCACCTGCAGCTGAGCGATTACTGTGGCTATAAATGATTTCTCAAAGCCTCAAAAGTTACAAAGGAAAGAATACCTCCTCTGATAAAAGGAATAGAGCAAAGACCTGTGGTCAGATTTTAGCATCCACATCACTGATTAAACTATCACAACAAATAATTATTAAATACTTTGACTAAAACGTTCCAATATTGATTTACCTATAATAAAATATTCATTTAAATTTAATTCAAATGGAAAACTCTGCATATTTAATGTCAAACACAGAAGCACTTGCTGCTTTTCTAGAAAACATTAAATATTTCTCCTGCAGTTTGTCCTGATAGTTCAGACTTTTACAGCATTTTCATGAGCTTACACACCAAACTCACATAGCACGTTGTTAAAACGTACTCTGTCACAACTGATGTAAACTCACAAGAAATTACTTTTAGATACGAGTTCTTACCAAACTATTAAACTTGACTTTTGTCATTTATTTATTTAAACAAAAACAACTTGGAAAGTTTAATTCAACACAAAGAGATAAAACACTTCATAGTTTCATCCATCCATTATCTTTTACCCGTTTCTTCCATTTTGGGTCACTGGTGCCCATGTCCAGCAATCACTGTGCGAGGGGCGGGGTACATCCTGGACGGGTCTCCAGTCCACCACAGGGACACATAGAGACAAACAAGACAAACAAACATTCACTCTCTCACTCACACCTAGGGACAATTTAGAGTTACTAATCAGTCTAACATGCATGTTTTTGGTCTGTGAGAGGAAACCGGAGTGCCCGGAAAAAAACCCACGCATGCACGGAGAGAACATGCAAACTCCACCCAGAAAGGCCCCCGGACCAGGATTTGAACCAGGGACCTGCTCGCTGAGAGGCAGCAGCTCCACCAGTTGTGCCACAGTGCTGGTACTTAATTGTTGATTTACAAATCACATGATCAACTAACTTATCAGAAGATATTTTTCAAACTGTTTTCGGTAAAATAATCACAAAGTTGTGCTTTAAACGAAACACAGACACACATAAAGGTTAGGAACCTAATAAATTCATGGCAAACAGGCTTTTCTCACAATATACATGTGTTTGTGCACCTGGGTGTCCCTGTGTAAATTTGACAGAAGTGTGTGTGTGTGTGTGTGTTACCCCAGCTGCTTGCATGTCTTTCCTTAATATATGTTTCTCTCCCTGCACTGTGTGCGTTTCCGTGTGTGCATCGGTAATGTTCTCGGAGGTGAGTCGAATACAGACAGCAGGGATTCGTCATGGTGACAAAGGCATCCTCTGCCACAGGATGGGCACCGCTCTGACTGATGAGAGGGAAACATGGCTCTTCCTCCCCCTCTGTATTCTCTTGCACGTTTTCACTCGAGCGCTCTCCTCCCTCCATTTACTCCCCTCCTCATTCAGTTCCTCCCTCGCACTCCGACTCTATCTTTCAGGAACTGTCGGGCTGTCTCCCCCTACCTCCCCTCCTTCTCTCTAGTTATTCCATGCCTTCTTTTTTCGGCAGTCAGGTGGTCTTTCACTCCTCTTTTTAAGATATTCTTTCACTCGACTCATAATTTTCCTGCAATCATTCTGAGCGTCAATTAATCCATGTTTGCACTATGCTGCTTAAATGCAGATTCGCTTCACTGTTAATAGTATGACAGAGCCCAATATAACCTTGTTATTTATAGCACAAAGTCCACGTGAAATAAATCAAAAGGTCTCTGTATTAGTTTCTCACACATAAAATGTAATATTACTTTAAAGATATAACAGACAGAATAAAATAAACATTAAACCACAAGGCGGATTTTGAAGAGCCTCAATACATTTTCATGTGTTTTGCTGGTTTTCCCCTCAGGCTGTGACATGCTCTGACATATTTTACTGCTTCAGTGGCAATGTCAGTCTTCTCCCAAAGTATATATTAAAGTTGAGTCAGAAACAGTGTGTGTGGAATTCCTCATGTTTGAGCTCTACATATAAAAATGAAGAACAGCTGAACTGTGAGTCAACCCTGCTCATTCAATGAAAATCTTTTCTCAACCCTTGTGTGGTGTTCAAATTTTTGTTACACAGCAAGTGTTTGTTCATCTGGTGGACCTGGTGTATTTTGTTGTTTCAAATTACACTCAATCAAACAAATCTACAAAAAATACTAGGGAGATTTATTACAAGCAATATAAACAATACATTTGATTAAAAGTTGCTATTACTGTTATTAGACTGTATTTTTTTCAAAGTAAATGCTTCTTGGTTTGGGGGGGATTTGTTTTTGTAATTGTAAGTTTGTTTATTGATATAATTCTCACAATGGTCAGTTTCTTCATAAAGGAGCTCCTGTCAAAACTTATGTGAGGTTAAAAAAAAAAGTTTAATATGATGTGGCCTTGAGTCGTGTCCAGGATGCCTCTCATTTCTTAATTTTTAGGGTGTCCTCCTTCCAGCTTATCTGTGTCAACTTGTAGGTTTCAAGTATCTAATGGCAAAGCACAGGCTGCCCAAATCTTTATTCTATACTTTGCAGGTTTTGATGGCAGTGGCCCCTAAATGGCATCAGATCCTCATCATCAGTGACATTAGGCCCAAGGTTGTACAGTAGAAGGAGGGAATGCACCCACTTGTCCTGATGGCAGCAAGCTTGTCTTTCTGCCATCCAGCTGTTTTGTGTTGTATGGAGAAGTTATCTTCCAGTTTCTGCATCCCACAGAGATATGGTGGATACCCCTTTGGACCTGAAAACCAACAAGGACAATAACCCTGGTCCATCTCCTTCCACTTTTCCTTCAAAGGTATTTCAATCTAGAATAATGCTCTGGATGGAATCTGGGATGAAAAGCTCAAAAGACAACTTGATGTCCTGCGCATGGGAAATTGCCATCTAAGTTGGCTCTGGTTGCATCTTTATAACACCGGCAGCCATGAGTGGTGACTTTCCTAGGCAAGAAAACCATTGGATTTTTCTATTCTTTGACAATTACTAGCTGCTGATGGGCTGGCCCTGTGACTCATTTGTTTTGGCACTAGCTGATGCTCCATCTCATCCTCCTCTTCAAAGTCACCTACTCTGAATGTTCAAAAATGGGTTCCTAACATTTATGAAAATTCTTCCTCTTCATCATTAAAAGCTTCTCTCTTTAAAAATCATTTGAAAGACCATCTGAGAAGACATTTTCATAGCCATCTTGATCAGTTGTCACAAGGAACTACATTAGAAAAGCTATATTGAGTGTGTCCCATCCCCATATTGTGAGAACCTCAGTCTTGGTTCCCACAAAGCAAAGAATAAAATGTGTGGGAATGTCAGAGCAGGCAGGTGACAGTGATTGACATTTGCAACAGTGTTGAAAAACAAAGCTCTCACACACAAACATTAACAGTAGGCCCAGATTGTAGGTGTGAATTTTCACATTTTCCTCAGGTCCAGTGGACGAGAGCATCATGTGCATTAATGTAAATGTGTAGGTGGTGGTGGTGGTGGTGGTGGTGGTGGTGGGGGGGGGGTAGAGAGTGTGGTCACAGAGGAAATCAGGAAGGAGGAACACTGCGTATTTCTTTGAAATTTAACAAGATAAGCGCCTAAAACAAATATTTGTTTGCTCAACATTATAGCAAAGGTGTGTCTCAGTTGAACTTTTACTTAATAAATGCACTTCAATGGTCAAATTAGCTGCATTTCGCCCGAATGGCACAGCAAAATTAAGCTGATTTGACGATTGCTCCAGGCAAGCTGGACGAAGGTGGCAGGATATGGCAAGTCAATTGTGTCATTAATAGCCACTTTTACCTATTACATGACACAAGGCATGCCATACTACTCGAGCGAGATCTATTGGCTGAAAATGGTAGTGTTAAACATTTTCAGTCAGTATGAATGAAAACGGTCATAAATATGTTGCTTTGGCGTATAAGTGACAGGACATGCAACTTATGCACAAAAACATGACTTAAAGGGTGAAAAATACAGTATATATATATATATATATATATATATATATATATATATAT